AAAATATGGTCTCGAGACCGAGTCCGAGACGAGTCCGAGTCTCGAGTACTACAACACTGGCTGATGATCAATAAAATGCAGCAATATCTGTTGCTTTCGGTGGCGTGCACTTCATTAAATCTGCATATAGAGCGGGAGTTGAAGATCGGATTTATATCCGTTTTGCAAAAACACATTTATGTGACCAGGTGTAAATGGAATCATTTTGATCAGATAGCTATCCGATCTGAGAAAACGAGTGAAGGTGTAAACAGCCCTAAAGTGACTGCTCACTTAAGCAGCTAGGTAACAACTAGAAGCCACAATAGAAAACATTGTTCACTTCACTTTTCTACTCAAGGTTTTGTTCTTTTGGTTTTGAATCTAAAATATTATGCTTACAGAATGGCACTTGCGTCGGTCGGTTGTCAGGCATATGATCAACGAAGCAAATTTGGCTATTGTAAAATTAAAAAGTATTTAACAATAATCATTTTACTGAATAACCGCAAAATAATAATACTAATAGGTATGGCTTTACTTGTCATATTATATAGTTATATAATTAAATATCTGCCTTTTTGATTCGATAATTGCACCAACCTGTGAGTAACAAGTTCATATACTAACTGAGTTTTAGTCCCATATGGATTTTGGGTGTTAATCTGAGCCCTGGCTGAAATAAGGGTGTTCTGCGCATAGCCGCTTGCTCTTTTAGTGCTGTCGGAAGCAGTCCGTGCATAAATACGGAAAAGTCACATCCCTGGTTGTGAATATATTGCAACATGAGCAGGTTGCTGAAGGCAATTATGCAGAGGCGTGCATCATTGAGTAATGTAATAAAACAAACTCAGCAGTGATGTTATAAAATGAACGGAAGTCTTCATAAAAATGAGGCAAAGTATACAAAAAAAATGTAAATTCATGTCCCTGTTACACTTAATGAGGTCACATTTAAATAAACAGTACATAAAGACCAAATACATTTCTATTTTGTATGTTTAAACTATGTAATTAATGTTTTATTTATTAAAAAAAATATAAATCTCATCAAGTTAGTGTTTTTGCACCTTTTTACATTTCACATACTTTTTGCTGCTTCATCAGCTAGCTAGACCGGAAACAAAACAACAGGCTTGCCACACACTTGTTTGAGCTTGTGAGCCATCGAAACAGTTGATATGTTTACGTTTAACATTACGTTTTGAGTATACTTTTTAAAAGTTTTTAAAAGTTTACTTTTAAAAAGTTCCAAATGGTCCCATTGACAAGACCAACGGGATCTGTGTGTTTTGTTGTTGTGAACTGAACTATCATCATCGCAGCACGTTCAGTCTGAAATACTACTTGATGATGGCCAAACACACACAGCTGATCCAAATTATCCGCCCCCTCTTCAATATCAGGACCTCGTCAGTATTTCTTTCACCCTTTTATTGATGGACAGTGTTGCATTGTGTGAGATAAATTGCTCCAAGTGTAAATGTTTTAGTGTGAAATTGAACACAGTATATGTATATTTACCGTCCACAAAAAGCATGTCTTAAATCAGAAGGCGCTAATTCGCGCTGCTCTTGGTAGATTGTGTTAGCCTGGCTGCGCCCTCCTATGCACTTCCGCTCAATTTCACTTTCCTTCATGTACTAGAGTCTGGTTGAACCAGGCTAAGATTGTGTTGGTCATTGTGTAAATGTGTTGGTTCTTTCATTTGCGCATCACCAGTAGATCACGCTCAGTTATGCCCAGTACCATCTGCACTTTTTTGGAAATTCGCTCTCACGCTAATATCTCCCGTTTAGTAAATCTGGCACTTAGACTGCATTAAAAAGCCAAACCTTGACAAACCTAACTCCTTATGTCAAATATATGTCATTTCTGCTACAAAAGTGTGAGGAAAATACCCCAATTTTGAAAAGTGACCTATATCAGATTCTGACTTCTGCTTTGTCAGGAGGTTGTGGGATGTTTGCTCAGTCAGTGTTGGCCTAAACCACAGAGAGTAGCAGATGGAGACATCACATTTTCATCCAGCAATTGAGCTTTTCAACCTAGAGCTTAGAAGAGTCTGACCCACATTCAACACCAACAAAATCACTCTGACCATATGTACAGTGTTGCAAAATTTATTAGAATGTATCAAAGTCATGGAAGGGAAATATGGATGGATCTTTTCTTCTGTATTGTGTAAAAGTTGGGGGGGACTTGATTCTATCCATCTTTTTTTATTTGGATTTAGGTTTATGCAGACTAAATGATTGGAGAAGTCTGGAATAAGTACAGACAAGAGGTCTGTAATTTTACTGGAAGATCCAGTTCTGATATTTTGGATTTGAACCTTACGAGGTCAAACTAAAGTGGGCATGTTGGAAGTTGATTTGATCTCTTCTTCCCTACTTTGAGGTATAGCCGACTGTTGGGATGGGATTTTATTTTGTCCATTGGTAATTGATAGAATAGTAGTGGAGTGATGTCATGAGAGTGACAGGTTGTGTAAAAAAACAAAAAAAAACAAGATATGGTGAATTTCCATTTCATGCTATCTTTAAATGATGACAAAGAACAATCTGAGCGCATCTGTTTAGTTCATCTACATTAATTTACTCTCCTCTCCTCATAAACCTTGAGTTTGGCTGATAAAATGCAACATACATTGCTTCAAGCTCAGGAATAATCAGTCGTATCTACAGATCTTTTTGAACCGGTGTTAGATATTTGGCCATATTGTAGACCATAGCTGTCAACCCTCGTGTTTTTTCCGGGTTTCTCACGTATTTTAGCTCTTTTCCCGCTGTCTTCCCGTAAAATATCTTGTATTTTTACGCTCTGACTGTGTGAGACGTACGCGCTCGGACAGATCCGGCTTGAAGTAGTTCATCCTCGGACGCGGTGCGGCACGCGCTGTCACAAAAAAAGCTGTACACAGCCATGCAAAATGAGGTCTTGCCGGTCTTACGTACCCAACGCGTCATTTTTGCGGCGCTCGTGCGGACGCGTCAAGTATAAAGGCTTTACTCCGTGTCAGCACGCGCTCTGATCGGTAAAGGTGCACAGATCTCTCCCAATCATCTCCTGCACTCCCCCTCCGTTTCCCTAAAGCCCATCGGTTTCCTTCATAAGCTGATATTTTATTAGTATTTAAACATTCTCTATGATATATATTTTTTAAATGACACACTTTCTCTCTCACACATGTAGGCTAGTTATAAACTCTTTAGACTTTTAAAGGTTAGTGCTTTATTTTCAAAGTTTGAGGGCGAGAATCGTGTAAAAGAAAAAAAAAATCCCTTATTTTGGGGATGGATTCCGGGAAATCTCACATATTTTCAATGTTTAATGTTGACAGCCAACATTAATGTTTTTATGGAGATGTCAATGGAAGTGTTTGGCCTACAGTGGTGTTCAAATGTCCATGTTTGAAAATGCTACCCTTTTGCCTTGTTTTTTCTCATGAAATGAATTAGTTGAGTAAAATACATATTCTAAAGTGATTTTTTTTCTTCACAATTGTGAAACTATAATATCAAGTTTAAATTAGATACTAAATCCCAGATTGTCTATGCGGATTACTAAACTCCACTAAGTATGGGGGTATTTTCCGTAGGTAATCCGCTTGTCTGAAGTCACATGTCACTGTTTCAGGGTCCAAATGGTCAATCACATGTCAAAAGCAAATAACAAACAATGCAAATATCTGACAGTGTGCTATAACAATACAGAACATCATGGTTCTAAACTTTAAACATCCTAAAGATGAATCTTTTCTGAATTGTTAAAACATTAATGTTTAGGACACTGTGAGACTGGCAAATTTTGGTTAAACAAATGTTTTAAGTGTCTACATGCATGTATTTTTATTTGAGTTTAAATTTGAGGTTTAGAATCAAACTGCCTTTGTTCAATCAAATAAATCAAACTGCCTAATATTATTATTTTTTTCATTATAATTTGTCATTCATCTTTTCTGAATCATTAAAATGTTATTGTCTGGGATGCCATGAGCCTAGAGACTCTAGTGTACACCCTGAGGTTGTTAACAGATTAGCATAACCCTTAAACGCAGGAATGTTTTGCCAATCATAATTGCATTTTCAGGTCTTTAGCAACCTGGATGGATATCTAACATGGTTGGGTCTGCTCCAATAGTATAAAACTTGATCTTGATGTTTTAATAATAACAAAAGAATAAACAAATTGGAATGTGTACCTGTTGCAATGTGGAAGTAATATATATATATATATATATATATATATATATATATATATATATACACAGAGACACACACACGCACACACACAGTGGGGAGGATATAGTGATTGACGTCCTTGGTCGATAAAGCTCTAAAGTGTGCCTTTAAGGGTTAAAGGTGTGCTATTAATAAGTAGTACTCTTAAATGGCTGTAGATATGGTATTCATTCTTGAAACTGAGAGGAAGCTTGGAGCCAGAAACGGTATTCAATACTACATTATGAGTTAACAAGCAGATACCACTGAGTTTGAATGTGGATAAATATTTGTTTGAAAATTTATATTGGGGCAAGTCTAGCACGGTGCATAGTTATTATAGTTATTATTATTAGTTATATATCATAGTTATTATTACTGGATCAGAAGGTTTAGAATTCAAACACAATTCACAATCATATAATAGCTGTTAATGCCTCTCAGACTTTATAAAAAACACAGACAGGTTCTCGTAAATCATAGGCTTCTGCAATCAATTGGTGGTTTTCATACATTGATCTGCATTATACTACAAACAAAATGGCTCAACAATTTGACAGGCAAATATCCATTTTGTAATGTTATGACAGTTATTAATGTGGCTACTTTCTTACAAATAGACAGATATTTAAATGCAGAAATGCTCACATCGTCCCTCTTGGTGTGTTTGGCACTTTATACACAATCCTTTCAGTGTTATAGCGATGGGAGTGATTTGGTTGAGCTGTGTTACAGGTTCACACCATTGATCCCCAGGCATACATTCAGCACATTGCAAACATTTTTTTTTTTTTTTTGAAAATCCCTCTGAGAAGTAATTGAGGACCCCAAGCGAGTCTTTCATACCTGTGTATTATGCATGAATTATGGATGAATGTTCCCTCTGTGGAAATGTTTTTTTTATATATATATACTTATTGCGTTGTTCCTGAAACACTGTCGTTATCACAGTTGTAAAGTGCTCTGAATCAGTGTGCCTGCAATTTTATTCTAGTTTTCTATACATCAGTGACCTGGGCTCAAGACTGCAATAGAACTCATCATATGATACATAACTGGGAGAAATGGAACAATATATGAGGGATGATGGAACAGATAAGAGTGCCCTCTTTGGTATTGGTAACAAATAACCTGTTTTTAAAAAAGCAAGAAAAAAGCAAGATTGTTACACTCAAATATGTAATTCATGACATGTCAAATTTTTTTTCATTAGTGTGCAGTATGGCTACATTTTTTTTCCTTCAGAGTTTGTTTGACAGACATATAACAAAGGAAATACTGCTCAATGCCTTGTGCAATATCAGCATAGTTGAAACTTGATGACATTGATTCAATGATAACAATTGACTAGTTCAAATGAAACATTAACCAGAAGAAACTCTTCATTTTAAACAGTTAAAGACAATAAAAGGATATTTAAAATAAATGGGAAAGGCAGGGCTACAAATACTTAAATAATTTATTAAATCTGATATTCCACGTCTTGCCTAATGTGCAAATTAAGCTGAAAAAAAGCATGCTTCACATGTTGTGCAAAAATGGTTTCAAATAAATATACAAAAGTTACAATATACTTAGCAGATTCTTTTTAAAAACTTTCATTTTGAGAAGCAGCAGAACGGTTAAAGTAAAGTAATGTGGAATCATAAATGGGTGTTTTGGTCTTTTAGTACATCTAAACTTTCAAAAGTTTTGCCTTGTAAAGGATTTTAGTTTTTTTGAAAGTTCTTTATGGCTCCAAGGCTCCATTTCTTAAAAAAAAAAAAAAAAGAAAATTGTAAAATGATCATGATTTAAATAGGTTTTGTAATTTATTCCTGTGCTGGCAAAGCTGAGTTTTTAGCAGCCAGAACTAGGTTCAAAATGTCAGCTGAATTAAATAATGAATTTCTTTTCAAATTAAATAACTTCCTGACCCCACTATTCTGAATGGTAGTGTGTATTTGCTTGTTTATGTGTTAAAGGTGACAAAATGAATTATTTAGCAGATAGACACAGTAATATACCAGTCTTACTCTCCCGAGACAGTATAGAACCATTTTCTTTTTCATTTCTTTTCTTTTTTTTATTTTTTATTCATTGATGCAGCTGTAAAAGGAAAACTGTGTAGAGTGAATGAGTTGTCTAGTTAATGGAGAAGGATGAAAAAGGCCAAGACCAAGAAAACCAGTTGAATGAGACTGGTACATTCAGTAAAACAAGGCAGGGTCGACGATCATCATCCACATCCTGGTCTGGGATGACTCAGGTTAAGGGCTGACCTCTGGGGGGTTGGTTCTCTCCGTGCTGCAGTTGTGGATGCCGGTGGAGATCTGGGCTGTGCAGGCTACAGTGTTACTGTAGACTCTACGGTTGAGCTGGATGACTGTGGTCTTGGAGGGCATGGATGTGTGACCATTCGGCATCAAACTCCTCTGACAGCAGAACAAGATGCGGAAGCACCTGTAAAACTTTAGACAAAGAGAGGCACTTTAGACCTGAGTAGTACTGTCAAAAGTCTCAAAAAATGTAAAGGCTTTTCAATCGGAGTTTGGAATGTTGGGCCAGATAATGTTTAAAAAAGAACTATTTTTTTGCAGTGCACTTTAAATTTAAGTGCAGTCACACTAGCAAAACAGGTCTGTTATGCATTGTCAGTAGAGTAGCGGTGCATGAAGCACCATTCACACAGAAATTCATTTCAAACCAAGCGTTTTTCTGTTGGTTAAAGGGATAGTTCACTTTAAAATTCATTTTTGATATGTTTTAGCTTACCTCAAGGGCATCCAAGATGTAGGTGTCTTTGTTTCCACAGTATTTTCAATTTTGATATTTTTCGGTCAAACCGTTGTTGTCTATCAGTCATATAATGGGGGTCTATAATAAGGGGGTCTACCCTGGTTTCCCTCTAGACTAAGATTAAGATTAAGATTTAATGCCTCGTAAATGTAAGTACACATTGATGGCCTAAGACACGAGACGAGCGGTTTATGTGAAAACGAACAGTATTTATATCGTTTTTACCTCTTGTAACCACAGCCACATCCAACTGATCTGAAGGCACGGGCACTTCGGTCTGCACATTCGCTGGAAGTGATTTACACTTGTCCAGTTTCGTCTGGAATGCGGCCCAGACCACGTCCTCAAGTGGTTTGAGCGATCAGATTCAAATCCGTCTCAAATGCGTTTCGGAGGGCAACCTGGTCTTTTCACGATCGAATAGGCCTAAGCTATCCGATCACGGAAAACGCATGAAGTGACCAGATGTAGGCTAAACAGCCCCTTTGAATCCATCTTCTACTTTTGTGGAAAGTTGTGTCGCTCGAGTTGTCTTCTCTGATACGGAGAATGGCGGCGAATACACTTAACCTGCAAGACATAGGCACATAGCCAGGCGAGCGTGAACGCGCATGACGTCACGCCCAGTCTCAGATTCAAGCCCGAATCCCTCTTATTTATTTTACTGTATGGGATTATAGAGGCGATCGCAGTGATCAGAGAAGGGCTCATTCAGCCCATCAGGCGATTGTTTAAGCATGTATGGGTTAGAAAACGGCTATTTTTAACATGAAATGTTGCGCAAGGCACCTTTAATGAAACTGTTTGAGATCCAATTAACGCTAGATTTCTTTTATATAAATTACAGATATGTCATCTGAGGACTATTTCTGATTTTTCTCAGTTATTTTGCTTTATTACCTGACTCAATATTTGGCTCGTTCTTACATAGTAGAGCACGTTCGCACATGCGCACTCTTCAAACACGTTACTTTAAATCTTTTGACAAACTAAAAGACGTAAATTCCATATGTAATAAAAGGCACCGGTTGTACCCGAATGTCAGCTTGCTTATTTTGCTCAAGATAAGGATTTATTACCTCCAAATGTGATGCAATATAGAAACGATGCCTCTAACCACAGGTCGAGAGCTGTCGTTCAAACCACACAACTTTGCGATGCTGTTTGCGAATGTTCGTTGGAACGATGGTTTCGGGAAACACCGACTCGTTGAACTATGCAGATAACGACGGAACTTGCGACCATAGTTGGCTAACGATGCTTTCGGGAAACGCACCCCAGGAATGGAACAATATATTAAGTAGCCTATAAAACAACTATAAATTATTGTAGCATTCATTATAAACATACATTACAAAATGACCTAACTAAAACTAGCAGTGTGTGAGAGATATACTCAATAACTGCTCTCATTTGGCATGAATTGCGCATGTTTTGCGTGCTTGGCCTTAAATGCATTACACAAGTGACTTTGGCATTTGAAGTCGCAGCATGTTTCAGATGATAAACTATTTTTCTCTTCCTTTCAACCTTAAGCTCACGTGGTTGTGGGTGTCCTGCTTTGTTAAAATCTAGTTGTGTGTGCGTTTCAGGCATTCTACTGATGATGTCCTTATGTGAAGAGGTCCACGTCTACGAATACATTCCTTCACTACGGAAGACGGATCTGTGCCACTACCACGAACGCTACTTTGACGCCGCCTGCACTTTGGGTGCGTATCACCCCCTGCTCTACGAGAAGATGCTCATCCAGCGCATGAACGTCGGCTCAGAGGAAGACCTCAAACGGAAAGGCAAGGTCACTCTCCCCGGTTTCAAGAACGTTCACTGTGAGCCCTGAACAAAAAGACGCAATAACAGACTTTGTAAAGCAGAAGAGCTCTGCAGACCGACGCAGGACCACACCGAGCCGGCTTTGAAATGGGCCGTGTTATGTAGACTATTTCTGCGGGGCAAAAACCTTCTGCTGTAGTTCAACTCAAAAATGCATTTCCTGAGCCTACGCGTACATAAAAGATGCGAGAACAGCAATAGATAGTGTCACGAGAAAAGCTTTTTGTTTAAAATCTGTGGATTTTCTTGGTGTTGAAAGCCATTTAAAAAAAAAAAAAAAAGACTTTTCAATTATTTTGAATTGAAACTCTGTTTTTCACTAGGTTGGAAGCATTAGCAGTCATAGACACTGAAAGCTACACTGTTGAAAGCAAGCATTCACTAAGGCTAGATTTATTCTCTGACTAAAACTGAGCTTTGTCAATCTGTCTGTAGGTTTTTATTTATTTTTTATTTTTTCTAACATACTGACAGATTTAAAGCTTCTTGCCATAAGGTGATTGTTTTTATTTTGTTTTTTGGTTTTTTTTTTGGTTTTTTTTTTTTTTTTTTTTTTTTTTTGGGGGGGGGGGGGGGGGGTAAATGAATTGTTGTTTCCTGATGTAATATACATTGTGACACTTTCACAAGCCTCTTTGAGAATGTTTTGCTCTTCCTGAACGTCTCGCTGAACTGTGGCAAATTATCAATAGTTTTTAGAGTACTTTACAGACATTTACCTGTCGTTGTACAAATCGACTAAATGAGCTTTTAAATGTGACTGTGGTCCATTTTAATTCTCTTTTAGTTGTTTTAAACTTTGAAATACTGTCAAGACAGGTGGTTTACAAAAAAAATAGAGTTGCTCTGTAAATCTAATATGGGACTCTAAGGCTGCTGGCAATATAACAAGTGTGGTGGTGATATTAATTGTTAAGGTTTTTAATGTCTTGTAGCCCCTAAAATCAGGAGACTCCCACCGGAGTCTTCTTTAAAAGCGAATGACTTACCAGAGCATCTTTGCGTCGTCTACTCTTACATGTGCAGTTGTTGATTTGAAGCGATTCACTTTGTGGTGCGACTTTTTTACAGAAGGTAAAACTTGAAGGTTTGCTATTTACTTGTGTGCATTGTTTCAAATGTGTGCCATTCGAATTAAAACAGAACTGATTTTTGTCTGTAGATCTGGTGAGGAGAGCTAACGTCTGTTTTAATCGCTGTTGTATATTGTAGAAGTAAAGTAGTAATTGGTGATTTCACTCAGGAGCTCACGATACTCTCACCAGGGTGAAATACTTCATCTTCCTTCTAGTCCTATGGTAGGCTGAGGTTGTAAAGCAAATATTTGACCTTTACTCTGTCCTGTTTCCCCATGTTGGGGGATTGTTAGATTTAGAGATACTGAAGAGTGACCTTTTTTTTTTTTTTTTTAAATGTTGAATACTAAAATAGGTTTGTCTGTAAAATTCCATGGCAGGTTTAGAGCCTGTGAACCTGCAGTGTATTATCATCTCTATATGACTCATTTTTGGAGCCGGCCGTGGTTGTCGGGCATGTGTGACTTCACACTCACCTCCAGTCTGTGACAGACAGATAATTAAATAGGTTTTTTGGGGGGCCTTTTCGCCACTTTTTATTGGAAGGGTAGTGGAGAGGACAGGCATGACTGGGAGGAGAGCATATGAAGAGTTCAGATGCAAAAGCCTCTAAGTGCCATTTGAAATTTTCTTCTAGAATGATCATTTTTATCAAGTTTGTATATTTAAGTTCAGTGATTTCACTTAAATAGTAATGATGATTACCTATTAATTGTTATTTAAGTGAAATTACTGAACTTAAATATACAAGTTTGATAAAAATCATCATTAAATTGAAAATTTCAAATGGCATTTAGAGGCTTTTGCATCTGAACTCTTCATATATGCTTTTCGTTTCAAAGTTTGGGGTCAGTCAGAAGTCTCTTAGCTCAAGGCGGAATTTATTTGATAAAAAAAACCAGTAAAAGCAGTAATATTGAAATATTTGTACAATTTAAACAATTTTTTTTATATTATTATTATTATCATAGTATTCTTATCAATATTGAAATCAGTTCTGATTTTTGTAGAAACCAAGATATTGTTTTTCATTGTTTTTCAATAATTCCTTGAAATAATTGATAATTCCTGATTTTTTTAAATAAAAAATATTTTGCAACCATTAATTGAACTTTTAACTTGGGCACAGCATTTTTAAAATGTAGACGCTGCATAAGACGCAAGTGCAGCGGCCGAACGCAAACGTTTCACATGCAATGAAAAGGTAGTAGTGGAATAGATAATTTTTTTTTTTTTTTTTTTTTTTGTTATTTTTACACTGACCCCAAACTTTTGGAGAATGGTATATGCTAACCGTTTGGCCAAGGCACTCCCAGATCATTTTTTAAAAATGTATTCTACATGATGGCCAAATGGTCATGTGACCTTACAGAGGGACTAAAACTCTGCCTTCTACTTTCTCTTTAGTCTTTAAGCATCTTGGGAGTCGTATGTCCTTCCTCTGTGAATGTCTTTTCCAAAGCCTTTAACAAGGTGTTTTAGCGGCATAAACTCTGTCTGTCTCTTGCTGAGAAGAGACAATGTGACTGGAGTAATGGCTGTTTTGAGAGTATTATTTGAAGTGTTTGGTTTTTCATGTCATGGGGTGATATGACTACTTTCGGGGAGGGGGGTTGGGGTGTACAATACGGTGCACAGAGCATGTGACAAAGCGGGGCTTGTTAGTATTCATGATAAATACCTTAATGTTAGGATTTAGCCAGTAATGGGAAATATGAGCTGGGTCTCTAGGTTTAGCTCTGTTTTGAGCTTATGATCTTTATTACAGAAAAGAGAAAATGCAGGTGATTTGACTGGCGAACTTCAATGTTGTCTCATAGATGTGTGCACAGTATGATTCTGAAGTTTTTCGTGTGAGAATGTTTGAAAGGTATTGTATATGTGCCAACTTTCCTTAATTTAATTGATGATTTTCTTTCTTCTGTACCTTTCCTTTCCATAAATGTACTTTCTATCTTTATTTCCTTGTGTAATTCTACACCACACAGCCTTTTATTTTATTTTTCTTTCCTGCTACTACTGTATGTTATATCTGTGAAAGTATTGATCTTTAGACTGTAAATATCTGCAATTGTCCATTAAAATGCCAGTTCACTTTCAAAAGCCATAGGATGTTTTATAATGTTTATTTCTACATATGTTAATACATATTTGTCATTGAGCTAATTTGTAAACCAGTAAATCATGACTGTATGACCGTACATGAACCACTACATATGTTCTTTTGACCATTAATTCTATAATAAAAGCTTGACCTTTACTTGACCCAGTAACATGTTGTGTGTGCTACTTGTTTTTCACCCTGAATATTTGATTTTATTAAAGAACATTCAGTTCTTGAAACTTCAGGATTCAAAAAATATATCATTGTTGATTAATTTTAATATATGAATACTCAGATATATCTGTGTACTTCATCATTGTTTTCAAATTCATGTACCCTCGTAATCTTATTCCCTCCCTCTTGCGTCAACATCTCTTCTCTGATGACACGTTTACTGTTGCAAGGGCGGGATCAACCTGTCACTCACATGACATCACAGCAATAGCAAACCACAACCATCCAATCAATTTCAGATGGACAGTCAAGTCCCGCCCACATTCGTTCTAGTTCGAGATGCTGCTTCACTCTGACATACCTTAAACTTTCATTTAATGCCAACTCAATAAAAAAAAAATGTATTTATTTCTCATAAATACTGCATTAAAGCCCTAGTAGTTACTGTGTATGACTTGTACATAATTTAGTTTGTGCTTTTACCTGTTTGTTCATCAGGATGTATATTAGCGGGTTGATGACTGTGCTGCTCTTTGCGAGGAGAGAGGGAACCACACTGGCCACAGGTGAGATGATTCCTGGCTTGCCAAATGTAGCCATCATGGCCACGACACCATATGGCATCCAGCACAAAAGATAACACACCACGGTGGTGATAACCATGAACAAAACATGGTATTCCCGCTTCCGTGCTGCTGTCTTGCGTATTTTCCCCACCTGAAAAAAGAGACCGACACAAGGACACTTATACGTGAGGTGATAAGATCAGCCAAACAGGATGATGTGGGTGTGTGTAGTTTACATTGTAGAACAAAATGTACAAATATTTTCAACTCATGTTTTCCACATACTTTATTTTACTAATAAACTGAAAAACATTGTTAAAGGGTAATATTTGAGCCTGACTCCACCCACTGGCAATATTTGAAAAATGCTGAAAAAGTGGCCAGACCCCGGCGGAGATAGAGGGGACGAAATAGATGCTAAAACACTCTATCCTGATCGTTTTCAATACTCGCAATTCCAACTCCTGACTCGCTACAGTGGTTTTGACGAAAAAAGCGTTTTTTTTTTTTTTTATACTGCAAAGGGCATAACTCGCGTGGTGAGCTGAAATCTGCGTACGTCACGAAGTGCGGAACATCCAATAGGATAATTCAACTGCAGTAGCCACCGTTCAACCTGAAGAGGGCAGCACTAAGACGTTTTTACACCATATATTGTAGAAATTAAACACTTTATACACAAATGTCAAAAAAGTTACTCGAATCAATGACTGGTACACTGTAAAAAATGATTTTTTGGTTAAGTAAATACTAGTGAAAAAACCCAATGTAATTTACTTGAAAAAGTTAGTTCATGCAAGAATTTAAAAAACTAAGTAAATTCCATATCAGTACTTATTTCAAGCGAGTATAAATGGAAGTGTAATATCAACTCAATAAAATTAAGTAAAAATTACTCAACTTTTCTGATACTGGGGTTCCCATCATGCACTGGACCTTGAATAATTAATGAGGTTCATTTTTTCACTGGTTTCCAGCTGTATCTACACTGTTTTATCATTGATTTTTGTTTTCAGTATAAGTAAATTGCCATTTTGTGACATTTCGAGTACATTTTTTGCTTAAAACGACACATTCAAACACAAAAACGATCCATCAAATGTTACCACCATTGTGTATTGTCTACCAAGTATTGAGGTGTTTGCATTCACATAAGGCTTAAAGTCTGACATGATGTATATAAATTACTTAGATGATCTAAGTAAAGAACATACTATAAATGACTAATTAAATTCAAGATAATTGTTTTAGTGAAATGTAATACAAAGGCAAAGGAAATCGGTATTAATTAACCTTTTACAAGCCGAGTTAAAATTACTTATTTTTTGTAAAGTTTACTTAATTCCACATTCCAAGTAAATTTAACTTAAAGATTTCTAATTAAAGCTACTGATAAATATGTTTAGGTTTTTACTTGGCAAATCTTTGTAAATTTACTAGCATTTTCTGAGTGAGATCGTTTAGCAAGGTTTTTTCAAGTAAATCCTACTCCAAATTTTTTACAGTGTATTAATAAAGATCCATTCTTACAGATCATTAACTAAAAAAAGTTGGTTAAGGGTTTAGTTACTGTTTAAAACCCATAGGAAAACCTTGATGTAACTGGCGCATTAGTGTTCCTGTTTTAACGTCACGACTGCAGTGCCCGATTGTTGTCCAGTAAACGCACAACTATCAAGTTCATGTATGTACATGTATGAAGTACTCGTTTCATTATGACACTGTGGGTGGGGGTGAACGTAAGTGCTTATTTGTCTTTGACACTGTCCGTATGAGTACCCTTCATGAAATGAGGTATGGTCCATACCAAAGCTCAAAGTGCACTCTGAAGCCACAACATTCAATTCTTATAGAAATTGTAATTAACATGCCTTTCAGAAAGGACAAAACAACAGTATGTACTTATCTCTCTGAGTTCTCTGTGCATTATGTAGAGAGAAAAACTCGTCACTGTTCTCGTCTGCGGTTGCAGAATGATTTAAATATTACTAATATACCTTCTTGGATTTATTTTCAATTCCCCAACTGTCAGTCACTTCGGCGTTGTGTCGAGACTGGCACGAGGGGTTGCACTCGAGAGCCAACATCTCTGTAATTTCAGAAAAGGCTGGTGAGTGGAATTCGCATGCCAGCCCTTCCCCCGGACTTACGGGTACGAAAAGAGGCTGGTGTGCTCCACTCATTCTTCTTTGTTCTGCGGGCCAACAGATGAGTCTCTTGTGGAAGCTAATCTATGAATCCGATCATCTCTCTAGTACTGCCGGATCCTGAAGCACATTTCTGCGGTCTCTCTTCATACAACACACAGATAAAGTGCACGTGTTTCGACTGCAGATAAAAGAGGCAATTTCCTCCCACCCCGTTCGAATCCTGCTCAGAGTGGGTCGTGTTGGTTAGATATTTTTTTCAGGCCAGAACACTGAAAGATCTACTAAAGATCTAGTATCGACCAAGAGCTGATGCAGGAACTGCTCTCAGCGACAGACTGTGCCTTGTGGGCTATGAAGTGGTCCAGGAGCACCACCTGTGGCTCAAGTTGGCGGAAATGGGAGCATCAAGAAAGTGTACTTTTTCTTCATCCCACATCTCCCAAGGTGGTCTTTTCAGTGAGGCTGTCGAAGACTTTGCACAGCAGTTCTCCACAGTAAAAAAAAAAACAGATGTAGGCCATCAAGCACATCTTGGCGGCCCCTTGCGAAGGTTTCACGGGCCCCACTACCATTTGGGCCGGCAGCTCAAACCCCACAGAGGTCATCTAGCAAGAAAGTAGCACTAACCAAGAACCCGGGAAAGGCTTCGAAGCGGCCCTGAGATGAGATGGGCAACCCAGGGGAGGAGGAGAGGCTGCCAGGACTGGGGACATGCCTCACTCCTGGTGGACAGGACGGGAGGAGAATTATTTTGTTTTATACTAATCCAAATGCAAAATAATAGATTATTCCAGGCTGGGAATAATGTGATCGAAGGCTTTCTAAAATAATGTGTCCATTTATTTCCGTGAAAATTTCTTTCAAGTAGTTGGTGTAATAACTTTTTTGTAAAATTGAAATATAAATCCATTGAGGCCAGTAGATCTCGTACCTCGTTGAAGGCTGATTGCCATCTCATGACCTTTTGGGTGTCATCTGGCTAAAGATGTAAATTTCTCCATTACTGCTATCTTAAGCAATAATTCTCTTTCCTGAAAATAGTGACATTTCACTGTAATTGCCCTTGCTGGATGATCATCCCCTGGTCTCGATCTTAAGGTCCTGTGTGTCCAATCTATCACAGGGGCATTATACAGCAAGCCCTTAAGCAGCTCAGATATGAAGTTGGGTATATGCTTTCCCTCCTCCCGTGACATCTTTCCTTCACCCACATAATGCATAAATTGCATCTAGATCCTCATTTTTTTTTATTCTAGTATGACGACATCTTGTTTAAGTTCCACCACCTCACGCAAGTACTTGCGCCATCCAAATGCCCACTCTCTGCTTCTTCCAGCGAGAGCCCGAAGCCCACAGTTTCGACTACGGCCATTCTCGCATCTGCCTGGCCCATCAAAGCCCCAAACTCTTCTCTTATGGCGCTATTCCACTGTGTGGTACGACTCGGCTCGGCACGCTTTACTTTGGATCGGTTTGCTTTTCCACTGCAGTTTATTACCTCTTCAAAATGGTATTATAGAATAATCGTTATAGTTACGCCGACACATCATCTACTGACCACAATACAGCCATTTTTTTTAAGTTGTGTGCGGCAGTCGACCAGTCGTTTAAAACAAGTGGCTTTTGCTGGGTTTCAATTTAGCGGGTTTGGTGTCTCGTGTCGCAATTCCAAATGACGTTGGTAGTGACGATTCTCATGTCTTCATGTTGAGGACTGCTGTGTCTTATATAGCTACTAATGAAAAATGAGGGTAACCAGTCAAAGGTCTACTCCTCGCTATAAATGTTCTCTTTTGTTCACACACACCTACAGTACTCCCATGATTGACAACTGTAGTCACACTTGCTTTGTGTAATCGTGCAGCTGGGACAGAGTCTATTTGTTCCAAGTGATTGTCTCCTTTACCAAGAGACATTAAACCCTTCACCTGTTATCGATCGTTGCAGTCCGAGATAGAGTGAAGAAAAGAGGGAAGGTGCAGAAATTAAATGAGGCTAAATGAATCGGCATTCCACAGAGTCTCACAACTGAATGAAAGTAAAGAGACAGCACTGGAATGGTTAAGTATTTGAAATTGAGAGGTTTATATATATATATATATATGTATGTATATATATATATATATATATATATTTAGAGAATACTGAATCTCCGGATCAAAACGTGCGACAGTGCGAGGAAGAAGCAGAAACAAGTTATGTCATAATTATATAAGTAGATGTATATTTAAAAATAAGGTGATCACCAACATTAAACAGCACACAAATCAAAACTGCCTGTTACTGAATTAAATGTCAACCCAGGATGAGCTATGACTAAAAGCATTAGGAATGTTGATGGACCCCATCTATGTTTTGATCATCATTTGGTCTGCTTTACAAAAATGTGAATTTTTTTTTATTTTATTTTTTATGAAACTTACCCATATTCAAGTATTGATAAAAAAAGAACAAAAGTTTTTTTTTTTTTTTTTTTTGTTTTTTTTCTAAAGCAGAGCAGTTTTTTTTATTTCTTTTGATATATTACATATTCAGATATTTATACGACAAAATAATCCATGAAACTTTTTGACAATGATCAAAAACACTGGCAAGTTTTTTTGTTTGTTTGTTTTTTTTTTCTCACGCTGGCGGGGAAAGAGTTAAGTATTTGCCTATTTAAATCCAAACAGCAACTATAATATCCCAAGAAATCTTCCTTGTCATGTTTCTAGCTGAACACACATGATATTATCCCTAGCATATATTTTCTTCTGGATCAAGCTTAGACAGATGATATGTGTTGAGATTTTTCATTCCAACTGAGATGGGTTTAATTCTTACTGAATTACTGCTCTATGTAAACGCCACTAATAAATTGGCAAGGCGTTTTAATTACATTCATTACTGACATTTACAGACACTCCTCTTCCTCATTGATCTTCAGTGATGAAAAGGCTCCTTTATTTGTTACAAGCACCCGTCCTCCCTCAGCGTAAATGAAATTTCACTGCATGTGATTGATGGTGAGTAGATGGAATTAATGTTTTGAACTTGTCATTGTACCCGATTTATTTCATGAACCCTTCACGTTATATACGAAGCATCATAAGTAAACTTCAGATTTTCACCGAGAAAGTCACAGATGTGAGTGTGAGAAAATGTACACATTAATATTACAGAATTTCAATGTGATAAACTGCAGATATCAGGGTCGGTCACATGCATCTGCAGGTTTGTATGGATAAAACTGTCCTTCTCAAGCCAGAGTGATATTTTATCCTCCTCACAGCAACCAACTGAACCCAATTACATCCCAGTGACTGGGACGCCCAGATAATACAGCATCCAAATCCAATCACACTGCTATCCGCACAAATGAGATTTGATGCACTCAAAGGAACCGGGTTTCTAAAGGAACCATTCACTTGGGCAGAACATCCTGTAAATGTGTAAGAAAAGGACTTTTCCATGTTTGAAATTAAGATAACAGTCTTGAGCACAGAATAGCACTTTTATTTATTTGCTTGTTTTCTTACTGTATGTCTGGTCACCATGACAACGTTTAGCTGCTTTGTTCAGGTTACAGGTAAGCTTTTCAAATCCCTTTTCGTTTCTCCTTTTTGTGTTTTGTTTTCAGGAGAATAAATCTATAATATATCTATTCAGAGATGGGTTCTGACAAGGTGTGTATTTTACTTCTCAGTTTTGAATTAATCTTTAACAAGAAAGTAGGCTATGTCAAGAAAATAAAAAGCATGTTTTTAAAGGTGTGGCTCAGGATTTTGGACATCAGAGTTAGCCTGGGTGTTATTTATCAGTGGAGACAGCTTTCAAAAAATATAATCGAGTCGTTCCAGTTGCACGGTTCGCCTGTGCTATAATGGTAACATTACAGCGGTATCTGAAGATATGTGAAGATACTGGACAAAGAGTGTTTTGACACAATGCAAGTAAAAAAATGCGGGGTGGCAGTGGCTCAGTGGTTCATGTGGGTTGTCTACGAACCGAAAGGTTGGTGGTTCAATCCTCGGTTCCACCTGGCCAAGTGTCGAGGTGTCCATGAGCAAGACACCTAACCCCAGCTGCTCCCGACGAGCTGGCTGGCGCCTTGCATGGCTGACACCGCCGTCGGTGTGTGAATGAGCGTATGAATGGGTGAATGTGAGGCAATATGTAAAGCGCTTTGGTGGCCATTAGGTCTATGAAGGCGCTATATAAATGCAGTCCATTTACCATTTAAATTTTTTCATCATAGATTTTTTTCGGTTTCTGAGTTGGGTGTATACGTTTCCAAATCTAACTTTATATTGCCTTAATCACTAGCTGCGTTTCCATTACCCTTCAGTTTGCGCAAATTGAAAATACGCTCAAAGGAAACACTTCAATTTCGCAAAAACTCCCGTTTATCGCAAAAAAGTTTTTACGCTCGCATGAGGAGGTTTTTCAGACAATTCGAAAAAGGATTTTTTTCGCAAAACTGCAATTGAAACGGATTTTGCGCATTTACAGTCACCTGACTTAGAAGACGGAGTGTGTTTTAGGTCCATGTCCACAAATAATAATAATAATTATCATCATTAGCTTTAAAGGTTTTAAAGGGGGCAAAAAGTCATAAAGAAATATCTGAAAATTCGTTGAGATGTATAGCGCAGCACTGGTGTGGTCAAACTAAAATGTTGGTGTTCAACTTTGCGTTTTAAAAATACAACAACCGTTCATTTTTCGTTTTGCAATGACCGTTTGGATATAATACGAGATAGAGTTCTTTATTAAATTAATTAAAAAAAAACAATAATTACAGGAATAGCCTCACTAAACCTCAAAGAAATGTCATCAAGACATCGAAGCAGAAATAAGGGAGAAACACCAGGAACTCCGTGTCTTTCCCTGCCATGCTTGGTTAACACACCACGTCTCCTTCCATTAATAATAATAATAATAATAATGTCTAGTGCGGTGCATGGCTGTTAAACGTACCAAAGTCCGTTGCCATGATTTTTGGAATGACTTATCGCGAGAGGAAAAAAACATTGGTTAATGGAAACACCGTCAGTTTTTTACCAACATTCGGAAAATATCGCAAAAGTTTTGCGCAAATCTGTAATGGAAACACGCCTACTGTCTTGTTGGCTCAAACTTAGCACCGTTTTGAAACAGCAATTCCTAACGACTGTTAGCTAGGGTTAAAATATGTAATACACAGCGGGGTTGTAACACGGTGTTACAAACAAGCCGCCAAGTGTACAATGATAATCAAATAAAAATAGGGAGCACCACAACTTTAGGTTTGAGTATACATTTAACTTTGTTGGACTTTCACAAACAATGTTGCAATTTAAAATGTTTAAAAATTAGTGTACTATGAATGATAACTTGTTTATTTATTAAAAATATGGCCTATTTTTAATGCAGTAAACCCTTTAAATTTTTATTTTAAGCTCATTTGTATTATTATTACTGTTATTATTATTAATGTACATGCAGCTGCCACACACAAATCTAATTTAATTGCAATTACAATATTTTATAATTGTATTTATTATTATTTATTCCAAAACTTTTCAGCCTTTTTCTATGTCTCTATCCATGATATTGATCCATAATAGAAGGATGATTGGATGAGGGATGGATGTATGGATATCTATCTATACAGATGCACAAACAATATCAAACTACAAATAAAATAGTACTGAATTATGTGTGTTACACACAAGTGTTACAGCTAAACCCTCTGTTAAAATCATGATTCTGAATCAGATCTGGATGTAGTCTTTGACAAAAACGTGATTATCTCAGCTATTTGCTCAAAATGGGCAAATTGAAATATTTATATTATGAAATATTTATTATTTCTATATTATGAAATATAATATTATTTTTTTTATAATACCCACATTAAAGTGTTGATTAATAAAAAAGAGTGCATGAAGCTAACGCGGCTGGTAACTTTAAAAAAATGGTGGGGTAATAAGTAATACAGATTTTTCTGGCCAGAAAATGCTGCAAACTGGACCAATATGTGATTGTCATGAGGAGCAACTATGTTTGCTTAAAAATGCAAATGACTTCAGTGTTTGAGATTATATTAGAATCACATTCTTGGCATGTTCTTTGGGTGTTTTTTTTTTATTTATTTATTTACTAAAGGTTTCTTCTACTGCTCATGAATAAAACGAAAACAAGGGTTTAAACCAATTAAAGTCTATTTCCTCTGAATTAGCACTTCAGTAGGTTTGTCTGAATGTGGATGATTCAGAGTGCATCCAGAGAATTGGCCGCATCTTCAAACATCTTGAGATCCTGTCAGAGCCTTTACAAATTCAGCAACATAAAATATATATATATTTTGACACACAGCACATAAACGCAGTTTACCTGTTTGACAGCATAGAGGAGTCTTCCATAGCAGTAGACCATGATGAGTACTGGTAAGCCCAAGCAGAATATAAACAGGCAGATGATGTAGGCATGGGACTGGGCCGTGCGCTGGGTCCATGATACAGAACAGCTGGTTCCCGCTCCCTCCAGCCCGTAACTACTCCAGCCCAGAAGAGGGGGCACTGTCCAGATCAAAGAGTACAGCCAGGAACCCCCTACTGCCAAAAGAGCTTTGCGATAGTCTGGACCACGTTTATGGTACATCGTCAATGTATTGTAGCGGTCGTAAGAAAGAACCACCAAGGATATTAGAGACACGATACCTGAGAGAGAAAAAGGACAAAATAGTAAAGGCCTGTTCACACCAAGAAAGCAATTTGCAATCTTATATTAAATATATATATATTTTTTTTTCTCTCCTTATTCTTTATTGTTTATGTACCTATATGTAATGCGTCCTTGGGTCTTGTGAAAGGCACTATATAAGTATAAGTTATTATTATTATAAAAACATATCAAGCCAAGGCACTCGAGAATTTTAGCAAATATACAAAAGCCTTTATTCAGTCATGGCTTAGGCAATTAAAAACATGTGATAACCATGTGCAGCATTTCAAGTAGTTTGTGGTTTCAACGTGATTTTAGTTATTTGTATGTGTTTTACAAAAAAAAATGTTTTTCTACCACACATGTAATTACTTGTAATAAGTGCAGTGGCCGTGAACAATCTGTTTTTCTGTGTGTTTTTAGTAATTGCTGGTTTGGTGTGTTTGAGTGCTCGTTACAATTACAAAGAAAAAGTTCAGTGACATTTTTTTTTTTTTTTTTTTTTTTGTGCATGGTAGAAAGCAAATACTGATACTGACATAATGGCAAACAATAAATATATATAAACACTCGTTCCTTTGTTCATTCCCCCAACTCCACAGGTGAGGACCGTAAATGAAATGGGCTCCAGCCAGTTTGAGCTAAGCACGAAAACCCCCAGCTAAGTACTTTTTGGCCATGCAAGCTTCAAAGAGATGAGCCAGCTAAAGGAATACGGTTGTCAGTGTTAAGTAGTTTGGAAAATACGGATTGGTCCAGAGGTGGCACAGCTCGGGACACACCAAGATAATGGCAGAGGTTGTTTGATCCCAAGACAAGGATCAAAAACAGACCTTATTCTTCTTAACGACCTCTGTCCGGGGTTGAAATATGTTAAAATCAATTTAAACTGAGACTTTGCATATCAAAATACATAAAATCATCCCAAGACAATTATTGACTTATAATCAAACATTGACTACAACATAGCTGAACTGGTGCTTTGATATAAAATGTAAAAACCTGCCTAAAAAATTATATTTTAGAGAACTCATCTCACTCTTAAAACGTAAAGTTTGAATGTGTGTGTGCGTGTGTTTGTGTTAGATATTAGTTTTATGTGTATTCAATAAAGTCTTGTGTCTATTTTAAAGAGAAGTGTTCTTGTTATATGCTTATGAATTGAATGTCTTAAACTTCTGATCTAAGTTACCTAATAAATAGTGTTTTCACTATAGTTTGGATATGTATATGCTCTGCAGAGCTGATAGTTATGGCCTGTTAAAATGAACACTGGATGAGTCATTTGCTCGGCCGTAAAATAAATAATTCTTTCGAATTTCCTAAAAATTTATTAATAATTCTCATTGAGCTAAAATGACCTGTTTTGACCCTTACATAACCACGTATAAATCTCATCAAGTTAGTGTTTTTAAGCATTTTTTTTATTCCAAAATAATAACTCAAGTTCTTTTAAATAAGTTCTTTAACTTATTTTCAGATCACCAGTTAAAACAATTCGGTAAACATTGGTCACAAGCACAAAGATGTACCTTTAATTTCACTAAGCTGATCACTCACAAAAGAAACAAAAAAAATTAAAACACATATCATGTTTTCAGCCCAGTTTTATTTTGACGTGACAAAGTGGTGATATCAAAGTGGGTGAGTTGTTTACTTACTTTTTAATTAATTCTCCCATCAATGCCATTATTTATTCCTTCAGACTGATTCACGGACGTGGAACACATACAAAAACAAGAGGTGGGATTTTTTATGTGAATCAATCTGACTTTCCCTCATTCATTCTCAATAATGAATCCCACCCGCCACTGAACTCACCACACACATTAAACTCAATAGGGATCAGAGGAGGCAATGACTTTTGGGGCCACTGTAGATTTTTAAAAGTCTTGGGTGATTTGGTTTGTTATTGTCTCCAGAGCACCAATAAAGGCCAAGTTCAAAAGGTTATACAATGTGTCTCTCTGAAAAATAAGCTTTCATTGAAAAAGTCACATAGGGACATGAACTATCATTTCATATTTGTCACCTCCTGTTCAGCTGTTTCACCCTCTGACCTTTCCAGTACACAGACAAAAACTTTCTTTGGTGTTTTCTTTATTATCCCATTGTTTAGTCACAAACCGCGCCCTGTGTCTCTTCTCCAAATTTCGTGACTACTGTAATTAACCATACTTTAATTAACCAAAAACTCTTCCTCAAAGAGTTTTAGCAATATGAGGTTGTGGTCAAACTATGTCAGAAAAGACCACCAAAAAAAAAAAAGAAAGAAAACACATTTAGAAAATGGAATATTTTCATTGTTTTGCCCTTTCACACCCTGAGATCTTGGTCCTATCTCACCTTAATTTGAATCAATTCTATCTGAATTATGAACAAGTAACAGGCCTAAGGAAGACAGCACAATATGACGCTCTTCAGTCCACATTACAAACCTCCCAATAAGAACTCGACTGATGGACACCAGGATAAGTCCTCCGGAAAATGAAAATGTAATGCATGGGTTTGTACAAATGGCCTCTCTCATTATCACAATGATGTAATGGACATGAAATCCATGAAATGTTATAGAATCAGACTTAATGAGTTTAGGTCCCTGTTAATCAGCAGAACGTGAGACGACTTCATGTGTTGTTCTGCTATCTGTACTGAAGCCAATATAAGCCACAAAATGTTTAATTTACATTTATTCATTTAACCGTAACTTACAAATGAGGAATATAATCAGCAATCAATCTTAAGTAAGCCTATGTTCACATAACAACCTTTTTTTTTTTTTTTTTTGATGAATTCCCCTTAGCAGCAAGACAGTTCTGTCAAAATATTAAGACAAGTTGGGTGATCGGTTTGATTTATATGAGGAAAGGTAGAAATCAATAGGGAGAAAGAAACAGGGGAGCAGATAGTGAGAGACAGAAAATAGAGGAAGAACACATAGAGTATTAGAAACACAGTCATGTTTGGTTTCCTCACAGACACAATATTGTGTAACTCCTGCTGCAGAGCCCTGCTGTGAACTGAGGCTGCATGAGATACTGCTCAGATGAAAACACTTTCACCTTAGTGCATTCAGAAAGAGTGTTTACTGATATTAAAACTCCTTTTGAAGTGACGTTGTGCTTTGCAACTTTGCAGACCTTTTGCAATCTCAAACAGCAACATAACACACTAAAGAAAGTTGGATATGTAAAAAAGCATAATAGCTTAAAAAAGGTTCCCTTCATCTCAGTGGAATAAGATTTTGTGACTTTTCATACATTATCCATCTACACACACAAAATAACTGGGCTTGATTCAGTTGTTCTGAAGGTATATATATATATATATATTAGGGCTGTGCAAAAGTTAATTGCGATTAATCACATCCAAAATAAAAGTCTGTGTTTACATAATATATTTGTGTGTGCTGTATATAATTATTTTGTATATATAAATACACACACATGCTTGTATATATTTAAGAAAATGTGTTATTCATATATAAAATATTTATATTTATATAATATAGATTATGTATTTATAAATATATACAGAATTTAAGCGCAAATAATTCTTAAAAATATACATGCATGCATAGGTATTTATTTATACAAAATAATTATATATAGCTCACACAAATATATTATGTAAACACAGACTTTTATTTTGGATGCGATTAATCGCAATTGACTTTTGCACAGCCCTAATATATATATATATATATATATATATATAAAATGTTTACACTTCTGGTCTTCGGGGTCATTCTCCATCTCCACCTGCCAGTACCCTGATTTCAAATCCAGTGTGCTGAAATATTTTGCTGCATGCATGGATTCTAGAATATCATGGATGAGGGACATAGGATAAGCATCTTGAGGCGTTTTAGCATTTGAACGCCTAAATCAACACAGAACCTCAGGCTTTGATCAGGTTTAGGCACTAGTACCACTGGGAATGCCCAAGGATATTGGGGGGGGCATCCTTTCAATCGCTTCCCGATTATATATTTCTTTATAGGTGAGACTCGATAGGCTTTGCACCTAACTGGGAGATCACCTGTGGTTATGATCTGGTGGTTGGTTAGGTTTGTCTTCCCCAGCTTGTTGGAACAGACAGAAGGCCATGCATGCAACAGCTGTATTACCTGAGGATGCCCCTGCATCAGATCATCCACCAAGGAAGATTTACTGACTCAGCTACTCCAGACTCTGAGGGCAGAGCCATAAACACATTGATAACCTTTTCCTCCTGCTGGCTCCTTGATTTTTCCCAAGTGGCTGGCAGAGAAAAGTAAACACAGTCATCCGTCCATTGATACACAGTTCATAACTATGTTCTCCCACATGTAAACGTACTCCCAAAAATCCAGGCCTAATATAATGGGAAAAGCAAGCTCTGCCATCATAAGTGTCTACTGTCCACATCATTCCATGCCAATCATAGTGCATATGGACTCTACCTTCAGAGGTTTGGGTCTTCCCATCAAAGACCTGTTGAAATGTTTTCAACACAGCTGTCTCTGCATTAAAGTGAATGTGGAGCCAGTGTCTAGGATAGCTTCCACTAGCTTGCCCCGGATTCCCAAAACCGCTCGAAGCAACGGAGGACAGGTAGCCTGCAGTAAAGCTAGATGTTGAGTTGGCCCAGACAGGGGTTTGGAGACATTGACATGACGGGCTGTTGGATTCTTCTTTCCCTTTTCATTGGCTTTCATCTGATTTATTTTGTCCCAATAGTCTCTTTTGTCTCCACCAATGACCCAACCTTGACCAGTTGCTGAACTCTATGCACACTACCCCTGCCAGAGAAGGGTTGCAGTTATTTAGGATTCTTTTCACCACGTCATCCTCAGGAAAACCAGTCTTCCAATTTAAGCATAATGTCCGGTAGTCATAGTAAAATCCCTAATGCATTGATCTTGACCTTGGATAGCTTTAAGTTATTCCTTGTCTACTCATTGATGTCGTCAGGGGGAAGGAAGGCTCCCAAAAAGCCTTTTTTAAACTCATCC